TGTTTTTCAGTGTAATCTCAGTTATAGACGGAAGTAAAAAATGCTAACAAAGTGACCTTTATGAACTTACTATTATTACATTTACGTCCTATAAATCCATCTTGACATCCATTTTCACAATGTCCATCTTCGCGGTTACAATGGTTTATTCCGTGTCGGCAGTGGTTACTGCATTGTTCTGTACAATTCAATCCATAGAATCCAATGGAACAAGCTATGTAAAACAAAAAATAGATTGTGATCTACTGGTTGGTTTTTGAAATGATGGGATAGAAAAGATTAATCTGCGTTTTACATCTGAATCATTTGTATCCTGTTGTTTTCTAAACTTCTACCAAGTTCTGTTGAAATCAAATTTAAAGTCGGTATGAAGAGTACACTTTGAAATACCTTAAAGTTTATTTTAGTAAGCATGACAAAATCATTTATCAAAATCCTAAGCCGATAATGATTATTATGTGTTTAGGTCTAGTCTACTAGCTAAAAACGAGATCTGTTGAAATCAAAACCAAAATTATACGAGGAATAATGTTTTTAAATACCTAATACTATTTCTATATCAGTAACTGCAGCAAAAATTTCAATGAAATCAGAAGGCTATATACAGAATATACTCTGTGGAGTAACTAATCTGTGTATCAGATTTATCGAATTAAACCGCAGCTGAAGGCTGAGAAGCGCTTGAAAAATTGCACAAAAATATACATGAATTGAAACCATGTCACCACCAATCAATAAAATAAGTAACATGCAGATTCGGAAAATTGTGGTTCCCTGCTTTTTGGGTTTTATTGATTGAAGTGCAATGATTTATGGTATAGTAAACCTGTCTTATCAGTTTATCATGCAAAAAAGTGTTCAACATATGTACTAAAATGTTCTAGCGCAGAAGTTAAAAAATTTTGAAAATATTTAAGGGTATTCTAGCTGCTGTGACGCTACATATTGTCGTTTTGTACATATTATCGTCGGCGACAATACGTACCTACCCTCACTGCACATATTGTCGTCCATCGGTAAACATTGTCGCCGGCTGAAAAGTTACACATTTACATATTGTCGCTGGCGAGATTATGTGCCTCACCCTCACTGTACATATTGTCGCCCCACAGATATTGTTGCTTAAAGAATTCTTTTGTTGTTTTTTTGGTAGTTTTGTGAATGTAATTGGTGTGTGAATCACACTGACGTGTCCCATGCCATTCCATGCAGCGTGATTGTGATAGTACATTTTTCGTCCTGTTCATATTGTCACCGGCGACAATGTGTACCTAAGCCAACTGCGCATATTGTCGTCCATCAAAACATGTCGCATGACAATGCACAGCAATGCTCCATATATATGAAAATATGGCCAGAGAAACCAAAAACTTAAAAAATGGTCATATAAATTTAATTTGATCCCCGAAATAGGGCTGAAATATTGCAGACTCGACGTTAAACAATAATTACCAATCAATCAGTCTATATAAATATGACTAATCATTGCTTTGCTGCTTTTGAGAAGATAATTTTTAAAAAATGTTCCCATATATTCCTACGTAAAACTTTGATCGCCCATTGTGGCCCAACCCTACTCCTGGAGTCATGCTTTGAACAAAATTGATTTTGTTTTTGTTTGCTTGTTGCTTTAATCCCTCTCTAGAATTTTTTCCATTCGCAAGTAGACGTCACCACTTGCCGGTGGAGGGCTGCAAATTTAGATCTATACTTGGCACTTAGGGTCATTGAGCAGTGAGGGATCCTTTTCGAGCCAGCACCTCAAAATTGAACAAACACTATGTAACGAAGCTTTCACATAAGTATCATCTCTTCTGATCCAGTACTTCTTGAAAAAAAAATGAAAGATTTTTTTTCTAAATATTCTATGAAAAACTTTGATCACCTATTGTAGCCACACCCTTCCCCCGAGGGACATGATCTGAATAAGACTGCATTTACACTTCATGATGAAACTTTCACATAAGTTTCAACTTTTCTGACACATGTTCTTAAGAAGATTTTTAAAAGATGTCACTAAATTTTTACCAATTCTTAACTAATATTCTTGAAAGAGGACATAACGCTTCATTTGAACAAACTTAAATTCCCTTTATCCATGGATGCTTTGTGGTAAGTTTGCTTGAAATTGACCCAGTAGTTCTTGAGAAGAAGCTGACATTGTGAAAAGTTTACGAACAGAGGGACGGTCAGACAAAATGTGATCAGAAAAGCTCTCTTTTACTTCCAGTTCAGGTGATCTAAAAATGACAACCCCTACACCAGTTATATCAACACATGATTGTATGTAAGAATAATGCTAAAAATAATTTCCAAATTATCATTACTACTGAACAAAAAAACACTAATACATGTATTCAATCTCCAAATATATATTACAAGAAAAAAGAAAAAAAAACTATCAGACGTCTTAAGAATCATGGTATCTTGACGTATCATAGTGATGTACATCAATCCTGGAAACAATTTTCTTACCAAAAAAAATCTCCCTACTGTATTGCGAGGAATGCTGTCCCTCCTTTCGTGCTTGTGTGTGTGTTTGTCAATCTCTCTTTCCTTTCTCAAGTAAATATTCGTCAAAACAATATATCGACGACAATATATACCGACCTTGACTGTACATATTGTCGGCGACGACAATATGTGCTGGTGCTTGACTGTACATTTTGTCGACCATTATGCAGGAGAAAAATAAGGCTCGTCTCGGTACATATTGTCGCCGGCGACAATATGTACCTATGGACGATAATATGTGCAGTGAGGGTTGAAACATATTGTCGTCGACGACAATATGTACAAAACGACAATATGTACCGTCACAGCTGCCCTCTTCAATTCAATGCTTATTTGAAAACCACGTCAAACTTCAACGTCGTAAGGTAAACAATCATAACACATTTTGGAAAGGTTTTGTCGCAGTAAATGCGTAGTAAAATACAAAAAGGCCTTTCTAAAGGTCATGTCATAGGTAATGTATATGTGAAATATAAAATCCCTATCTTCTCTGTTATTACCAATGTTAATTTTCTTAAAACATAGGTCCAATTTCATGGCCAATCAAGGTCAAGACTCAAAAGTCATTGTGCATTCTGAAAGGATTTTCCACAGGAAATGCAGTTGGAAATATGAGGCCTTTTTTTCTCATTCAAAATTAATTACCTATGTTAAATTTTGAAAAGAAGAACTTAAAGATCATGAGGTCAAAAGTTGTCTGAAACAATGGAAACACTGTAGAAGATAAGAGTTTACAAAAATCATAAAAACTTTCTATTTGAAGTTACGTTTTTTTATGGACATCAATATATATATATATATATATATATATATATATATATATATATATATATATATATATATATATATATATATATATATATATATATATATATGTATATATATATATATAGGTGAGTCTGGACGTATACCAAGTTCTTTCTAAATTGGACTTGAAAAAGAAGGGAAAGGGTTTTTTTTAAATTGATCACAGAAAACGGACAACTAGACGAACAGACAGCTAGACGATTGGCATCTCCTTTGCATAATATCTCCTGGTTCACAACCAGTAAAGCTAAGCCTAATACATACGTTATTTATTTAAAGAAATTAAACCATATTTCTCATGTGAAAGACATGACATCTACATGTTTCCAAACTTGGGAAAAGTAAAAAATAATTCGACGAAAACTTTAGATTTATCATATAGTATGTAGGGTTAGTTGATAATAGTTAAAATGTACAAATTAATAAATTGAGGTATAATACAATTATACATCCAACAGCACACCTTTATCACAGCGTTCTCCGGTATATCCAGGTTTACATCCCGAGTTACAACTTCCTGTTGTTCTGTTACAAGGGACGCCATTTAAACAATGTCCACTACAGTTGTACATACAATCAGGACCATACGTTTCTGCTGGACATTCTGCAAAACAATTAACAATCTCAGACTCATTCGGTACCCCTGTCTTGGATTTTGAAACATTATGGCAAACATTCTTGTGTCTCCATCATCAGATAAATGTGTACATTTTCAAGGTTGTTAATTTACAAAAGATTGTTGATACTGCTCATTGTCAATCTTATTCTCTGTAGCTTCTTTACAAAACTTACATGCATTACATTTAATCTTCCAAACGTGCTATATGTATCAATTTGTCACAGAAATTGAGAATAAAGTTAATGAACAATTATAGTGCATGTACCTGGCAGCGTGGCATTTGTTATGCATATGTAACAAATACATTAAATAATTTTTAATTTAAAAAAAGGATTCATTTACGATTCATGAAGGTAAAGATAAAAATATGGTAAGGAGGAAATGCAGAATTACAATTTTGTAATAAAAATATTTTGATTTAATTTCATTTTTTTTCAGAAAAATTAAGAAATTGTTACGTTTGCTGCAATCATTCCCTGTCCATCCATCAGCACATCCTTCATCACACTCACCAGTAGTATGATTACAAGGCTTATAGTATCTACAATGCTCAGTGCACGGCGTCCTGCACTCCAGACCGTAATATCGAGCAGGACAGGCTAGATAAATAAAGAGGATTTGCAAAAATATATATATTTTTAAGGACATACGCAACGTACTTTACCTACTGATAATTTTTCAAGATATTCTTAATTTAAAATTATAGTGCCATCAGATGTTCGTAGACAAAAATTCAGCATGCATTACCAGGGGTTTTAAAAAGATATTAATTGATGAAAAATCTTGTAAAATTCAAAGAAAAATATACAAAAATTACCAAACATATATTCTAAATTTTTTTGTTTATCCAAACTTGTTTTAGAAGAAGTGTACAACAGCATATATAGACAACAAAATGTAGCACACAGTTCCTTTAATTATTGGAACTCTTCAACTCCAGTGAAAAAGACAATAAAGTTCAAACTACGTTGTGTATGTCCTTAATAGTAAATGATTTTTTGGGGGGAAATATGGGCATATCAAGTCATACACACATTAAACAAAACACCATAAATCTTACAATTATTACAGAATTCACCAATCCACCCAGCTCTACATCCCAGACAGGTTCCATTCACAATGTAACATCTTCGTTCTTGACAGTTTTCTGGACATGGTAAATTACAGTCATATCCATAAACATCCGGATACTTACAACCTGTTATTTCAAAAAAAATCTTCATCTACTTGTATTTAATTAGGTGTACATGTATATCTAAAGTCACATCTTATCCATTTTGCTTACTTACCTGTAACCGTAACTTCACACAGTTCAGTGTAAACGCTTGAAATTTGGTATCCTGTAGGGTATGTTATATCATCCAGTCTTTCGTTGTAAAATATTACAAAACGTCCATGTGTTACACATGTAGTACTGAAATCCAAGGGAGGTAACTCTGGTCCATCTTGGTAACATCGATGTCCGTTTTCTTTACGAGTTGAGTTAGACACATAAAGAGAGAACCCGGCAAAACGACCTCTTTGTCTCATAATTGTTGTATCTAGGATTATAAAACGGCTGGTGTTTAAAGGATATTTTAAAAGTGTGAATAAGAATTAGATTTAGGAATACAGGAGTTGATCGAAAAGTTCGTGGAATTTCTTTCTAAAATTTTATTTTGACGTGATTAAAGCAAACAAAAGACATATCCATAAAAAAGAGCCATTATGCAACAATACTGAAACATTTCATCACATTTAATTACCATTAAGATTACACGAAATTTCTTAACATGCACAGTTGAAAATTACGGGGGACAGTTTGACGTAACATCAAGTTAGGTATGTCACATCACGTTCTAGGAGCATCTCACCTTCACGTTCAAACCGAATTAGAATATACGTAACACTGCATTCTTTTCTCCATTTCTGCCTTCGAGGAAAGCCTGGGTACCCATCTCTCACCCACTTTATTCATATTACGATCATTTATCAAAATACGCTATGTCGTTCCATATAATGTTTCGATTTCAGTAGCAATGTCAAGCACAGTGCATCGGCGGTCCATGTCCATAAACGCTCTCAATTTGTCTACGAGAAGAAGGACCTTCCAATAGGCTGCTAGACCTTTCATCATCATCGGAAGTTCTATTTACCTTAAATTTCTTACACCACTTAAAAACAAGTTGCTTACTGTACTTTTGTTCTGCCTGACTGTATCATTAATATATGCGTCTGAGTCAGAGTCAGAGTCTCAAGCCACGACCCGGAGTAGCTCTCTCCTACCCGTGAGTTGCTTGTCACAAAAAGTGTCGTAATCTAGAATATTTACGCTTCTATGTTGTGACGTCATGTTTAGCCAATGACATTTGTTTCTATAGCAATTGAAATCAACATCTGACATCAACAGTATACACGAAATATGTCGTATACTGTGATTGGATATTGAAAGGTCGCGTCAAAGTTTATTATCCGACTATGCTTTACTACCATTGGTCAATATTTTAATGAGATGCGAAATATTCTCTTATTCAACTTCGGCCAGGATCGTACATTTTGGCCGTAGTTTGCGACGATGGGAGAGGATCGTACATTTTGGCTGTGGTTTGCGACGATGAGTCAGAGTGTATGGGAGATTTTTGCACAATATTTATTAACTGTCCGATTTCGACGTGTTCTAACGATGCCATGATGATCAACAAAAATTAATCATCAATGAAAAAACAAAATATCCAGTAAAATCGACAAAAATTTTTCACACAAGGTTCAAGCAATCATAATTATATCCTTTTCGTTTTATATAACATTTAGCACATTTTTTTCTACAGTGAGTGACAAGAATCGAAATGATAATGAACAAATAAATGTCTCCCCCGCATTTTCAAACGTCCGTTTCTATGGCAATTGCCAGAGTGTTACTGATGAATTTTAAAACTATTTTTTTATTGAGAAAATCCAACAAGCGAATATATTTTCACTTGTAATTTTCAATCACTTCCATTAAAAATAAATAAAATATAAAGAAATTCCACGAAGTTTTGGATCAACCCTCGCATTTCGTGCCAAATAAGTTACAAATAAATTCAACGAACTTCTGGATCAACCCTCGTATTTCGTGCCAAATAAGTTGCAAATAAATTCCGCGAACTTTTGGATCAACCCTCGTATTTCGTGCCAAATAAGTTGCAAATGACCAAATGTACACAATGATAGACTGATACTGAATGATTGATTGATCCTTAATTTGATTGACCATTAGTTGTTAAACTCTTTCAGCATCCTTACTAAATATGAAATGCAACAGAAGCATTTTTATAGTACTGAGGAGAGACCGTACTTGTTAATAGCTTTAAAACGTTTTTATCCTTGCAGACCAAATGATAGAGATTCTTCTTTGTAAACTTGGTAGGAAAAAAATGTCGCAAAATTCAGTACAAATTGGCATGGACTTACTAGTGATTTATGAACAATCTGCAGACGTGAAAAACTTCTTGAAAAGAAAATCTGTCAAATAATATCCAGATGAAAAATATAATGTATGAGATTTTAGATATTTTATGTGCAGTTCTGTTAAATGAATGTTGTATTGTAGTCTCACGTCAAACAAGATTACCTATTTTTTTCACTGTATTAACAAATATTTATTTGTATTCGTAAAGGCACACACATGGTTTTATTGGTTTGTATTTCTCTGTCTAGAGTCTCAATTAAAAGATAAAATGTAAAGATATCTATCGTTCGGTTTGCTATATAAAAAAACAAGCATTCTGAGAGTAAGTATATTTTGCATTAGCAATACTAGTCCCCTACCGGCAAGTGCAATCCGGTTCCCGTTAAAAATTGAAAATGCCATAATTCCGTCAAAAATCAATGAAGGGGACACAAATACAAACTTGATCTATAACTCATCAAAGTAAAGTTACACATCAAAAATCAGCTCAATATCTGCAAGCTTTTAGAAAAAAAAATGCAGAAAACCCTGAAATTGAAAAGGTTGTAATTCCGTCAAAATCATTGAAGCGGAACGAAATGCAAAGGACAAGGTATTGTAACTGCCGAATCTGGCTCCTTATTTGATGTAAAAATTAGAACACAGTTAAAGTTGTGATAGTTTGTAGTTAGAAACTTAAAATGATGCTTGTTTTAATTGATTGATTGATTGATTGTATATTGTTTTACGTCCCATTCGTGAATTTTTCACTCATATAGAGACGTCACCATATACCGGTGAAGGGCTTCAAATTTTGACCTTTACTCGGCACTCAGGGCCATTGCGCAGTGAGGGATCTTTATCGTGCCAACGCCTGCCGTGACACGGGACCTCGGTTTTTAAGGTCTCATCCGAAGGACCCGCAACTTTCACTTCATAGTGCCGAGTGCATGGCGAAGGAACAGTCGCTGCCTTTTTTTATCGACTTAGATCTGTCGCGGCCGAGATACGAACTCACGACCTCCCGATCACGGAGCGAGCGCTCTACCGACTAAGCTACCGTGAACGGTGATGCTTGTTTTAAAACCAGCACTAATTTTGATTCAAAGCTTACATGGAGGCCACAAGAGGGTGCAAAAGTGAGACATTTTCCGAATTTCCTCTATTCTGGCCAGATTTCGTCAAATTTGAGATACTTTTTACTTCGGGAAACATAGAGCACAAGCTTGCCTATCTGAGATTTTTATACATAAGATGCATCTGATAAAAGTGTATGAGATATATCAATTTGGTAGATATGCAAGCTCGTGCTCTATATTTTCTTAACCAAAATGTGCTGTAAAATCGATGAAAATGTGCATAAAAGTGAGAAAATTTGAAAACTGACATATTTTCTGATCTTCCTGTGACCTCTGTGTATCCCATAACTTAGAAACAATACTCATTTTGTGGCAGAGGTGATAACAGGTTTTTAATTGATAAACTGTTGTATCATTCAAAAAGGCACCCCAAACCAGGGGCCAAAAAGGGGTCTTAGCTTATCTTGTCCTTTGATCTGTAACCCAATAAGATACAATCACATACCAAAAACCAGCTCAATATCTGCAAGCGTTAAGAAAGAAAGTGCGGAAAACCAAGTGGGACAGACTGACAGACAGACAGCTAGACAGACAGACAGACAGACAGACAGTTAGACGGACAGACTCAGAGGAAACCTATAGTCCCCTCCGGTTTCAGGGGACTAAAAACAATAATTCAAATATTTCCAAAAACCCATTCAATAAACTTACTATCGTCTTTACCATATTCGTTGAACTGTATCCAAATACTGTATATGCTGTTTAAGTCTCCAAGGTCTACATACCACCATACCGATTTGTCTGGATTATTTGTACCGATTTCCAATGTCTTCATACATGTTTGTATGTTTCCATCCACTGCAGATGTCGCAGTACAGGGAGGATAACAGATAGCCGTTGTACTTTGAATGACACTCTTATTTGCTGATAAGTCCTCTAAATAGAAAGTTTGCATGTATTAATATTCAGTAGAAACACTTTTTGCCTTGATAGGATTATGGAATCACATTTGGTTTATTTCAAGATATTTCTCTTCGAATATCCCCATATTGTAATAGTTTGTTTTATGATCATTTTGAAAACAGTATCTGGGATAAATGGGTAAAAATACTCGTTGAAAATTATAAATACACAAACCATACGCATATGAATTTTCATGAGAATTGTTCTGTAAAAAAAAAAGCGAAACTGTAACATACTTCAATTTTTATTTTATATTAAAAAAGGACATAAGTGGAATTAAAAAGAATTTCACGTAAAGCACATTTTGCTACGTTATTCCAGTTATCACAAGGTAAAATTGTAGCCTCTACTCGTACATTAAATATATGGGGTGCATATCATGATACTAAACTTTAACCATTCTAAAGAAAAAGTAAATACATGAACGTGTATCTCATTTAAAAAACTAAACTGACAATAAGCACTCTAGAAAGGTAATAAATACATGAACATTTATCTGATTAGAACACACACAATTCAAAACACACAATGAGATGAATAAATATAGTTCTTATAAATTTTGTATATATACTCACCATATCCAAAAATCGTAACAATGCTCAGAAACAAACAAATTTCCACTTGCATGTTGTAATACATTTGTATTTGTAGAATGGGTATATCGAAAATAGATAAACACTTAACAGGAAGTTATATTAATTATTGAACTATGGTGGATTATTTTAGTCTAATTTTCATGATCTTAAAATTATATTTTCAGAACAAATTTAAAAAAAAATCCATAATACATTTCCCCTAAGGGGTGCTTTCACAACAAACCTTTCGAGACTGACTATCCAGTCACACGAGGAATGAAAAACGTAAGTAGAACTGATAAAATGCTTCTTTTTTTTTACATGAATTAAAACTTTAGCTAATTTGTTTCCCTTTATTTTTTTTATTTTTTTTTTTTTTGTTTTGTTTTGTTTTGTTTTGTTTTTTTTTTGTTTTTTGTTGTTTTTTTTTTTGCTAGAGAAAATGATCTTTTTTAAAAATTTAAAGCAATAATAAGTTTTACTTTCTAAGACATTGTACTTAGTCTCTCATTCACTCATACTGGCGGTTTTGTTTTTACTTTTATAAATCGATTTGTTTATTGATAATTTCTTTTGCCTGATCAAGGCACTGGAACCATGGCGGTTGTGACCGCTCGGAGGGAAAGCTCATTCCTCCAAGTACCTTTTCCCTCATCAGGTTTCGTGTTTTTTTCTGCCCTCGAGGTTGGTCACTAATTGTTATCGTCACATTTTTTTTACCTTTTCGAAGGTCATTAGGTTGGAATATACTTGAATATTCTTTTTTCCTTAAAGATAATAAATAGAATATTATATACAGCGTTTTATCAAAATAGGACAAAAATGTGAGAGGAATAGTGCAGTTTTAAGAATTTCACATATTTTTGAAAATTATGACAACCGTCGGGGTAGCTCAGTTTATATAGGAAAAACTTGTAAACAGTACCTCTTTATGTGGTGTGATTGGTTCCGAATTTGAAAACAATCAGAGAAAACTCTTATAGAAGGATTTCAAAAATATATAACATAAATACAAATAAACAGACAGATGGTCGACGGACACTTTACAATTCTTTTACATAACAAAAAAGTATTCGTTGCACTACCAGCCAAGTTTTGTTTTACAGTGACCTTGCAAGAGTAAATGTAAAAGCTGGGTGTCTATAAAGAACGAATAAAGTTAATTTTGGACAGTTCTACGATCAATTGTAGGCCTTTATTATGCCATGACAGTATTTTTTAATGTCAAAACATGGAATCGAATATGGCAGACACATTCTTTTTACGAAGCGTGTTCAGCTTTAAAAAATTACTACAATAGTGAGCTTTTCACAAAAGTAGCCAATCAAAAACTGGGTTCATCAATGCATGAATAGCATGCTTGACTTAATGAGAAACACTCTGGAAAAACATTCGTGTAATAAATATATACAAACGCTCTTACTTAATACAATTTAAAGTATGGATATACATTATGGACAAAAATTAAAACAATTAATCAATGCTGATTTTTTTAAGTAAATCTTTGTTGATAAAAACACGCGGTCACAAACACATCAATGCTTAATACTGGTCAGTGTGAGTCGATCATTGTTATGCAACAGCTGAATAAATAGAACAAAGGGTTAATTTTGAATGTGTTTCAGAGTGTCTGTTGAATTTGAATAGACCATTTCAAAAGGCTTTCGTGCAGATTTTATGCAGTCGTCATCATTTTTTACACACTAAGGTTATTTCATATTATAAGGGCGTCATTTAACCCAGCTAGAAGCAACTGAAGCTGTTCGGATGCTTCAAGCAGGTTGCCCAAAAAGAATTTTGCTACAAACTCAATTTTAGCCAGGGTGTAATTTCTAAACTTTTGACTCGCTTTCTACAAACTAGGCTACTACACCGAGGCAAGACTGTATCTAGCCACATGGTATAGGTACAAGTTCCAATCCACTATACAGCTTAAAAACGACTTAAGAGTGGTCATTGGAATACGGATGTCAGCATAAACTGTCAGAAACATGCAGACTACATGTAACCTGCATTTGACACGATAGCACGGACTAGCACGCTTACAATGGGCGACGGACCATCATCGCTGTCAACTGCATTACTGGACTCCCGTGCTCTTCACAGATGAGTCACGGTTTGCATGGACTTCCACGCTGGCTGAAATTAGTATCGGCGGAAGTGTACACTATCGAAAAGAATCTTAAAAGTGTAAGATGTAGGGATGAGATATTTGACTCTTTGGTAAGACCCTGTGCAGGGACTATTGGGTATGCTTTTGTTTTAATGGAAGATAATCACGCCAATACAAGGCCTACTTAACAGCAGAAATCATTGAGCGGTTCTTCTGATCTCGATTTCATTGAGCATATTTGGGACTTGCATTGCTTCAACGTTCAATTTCATTCCTCCCTCAGCTGCAAACAAATTGTCGTAGAGAGCAATGAAACATTGAAACACAGACTGAAAGAACGTATTTGAAATTAAGGGGTTCATTTTACAAACGATAGCTGTGTTCACTTTAATTTGAGAGGTTGCACTATTAATGACTTCATAGCAACTTTAATATATGCATCAATGACCTATGCAACAACAGTCACATTTCTTAAAAATGATTGTTATACAATAAGAATTTTAATCTGGATGCTTGGATATAAAGCACTTTAAAATCATAATCGCTGTCGTATATAGACCACCAGTCGCAAAAGCTGAATGGATTTCTTTTTTTTTTTTTTTGAAAATGCTAATGACGAAATAATAACGGATTGTAGTAAAGTGGTTATGCTTGGCTGTTTTAACATCGATGAACTTTAAAATATTAAATTCAAATCTTCAAATAAATTCTGATATTATTCCTATTGAAATTAATGACCATCATTTAGTATATACTATTAGAAATAAAACAACCAAAGAAAATATTAAGCATGTATATATCAAATATACATTATAACACGCAGACGAATACTCATTTCTATCCGAACTTACTTCGACGAACTGGGACTCGGTTATGAATCTGAAAATGTGAACAATATGTGGGCTTTATTTAAAGACTCTGTTTAAAAAAAATCATTGATTAGTCAGCTCTTGGGCTGACTAATTATCTTACGAAGAACATCATATGCGCTTGCATGCTTTAGAATTCTGGGTATTCTGGATCACCTAAACGCTTACCGCATCGTTTGAATGGGGGATCAAACAACTTGCGTGACCTGGGAAGAGGTTTTTGAGTAATTTACTTCTATTAATTTCGTTTCCGGTAATCTCTAATTTGAACTTAAAACAGGAAGGCCTTTGATACTGATTTTTTTTTAACTTTATATATTGAAGCTTTGTACTGCCTTGCGGTTTCAACCGTTTTAAATTGGTTTGCAGTAATTAACTGGTTAGCATCAGATATCATGAAAAGTGTGCTCTGCACAGCGAAATATTATATTGCATAAATTCATTTAAAGATATTCGCTCCTAAGCTTTTGAGCAGATTTTTGTCTTGACCTATATTTAAAAATTTTTGAAGATGTTTTAGTTCTTAAAATAAATTTGGATTCTACAATGCCAGTTAAACTATATTCAGCTAAAAACCCATAATTGAATTCCATAGCAAAAGCATTAAGTGAGGAACTATATTTTGTGGCGGAAGGTTTTTTTTTAGAAGAAAATGATCATTTTTTCTCTTTCAAAGTATTTAAAGTATTGTTAAGTTTGGATTTCTATTTTTCCATGCAGCCTGCACACATAGTTATTTTGTGCCGTAAACTGTTTAATGCTGGTTCTAAATTATATATTAAATAAACTGTCATAAAATTCTATCATTATACTTGACAAATATAGCAAATATATTGTGAAAAATCCAGACAAAAAAGCCCCAATTTAAGCTTAAAATTAACAATATTTCAGTCATATCTAAAAATTAACATCACAGACCCCACTTTTAATTTTCTTTTCTGAACAAAACTTCTTAAATTCTTTGACCCTTGACCTTTACATTTGACCTATTCTTGAAAAACTTTAACCTTTGCCATAATTTTTGAACAGTTGGTGCTAGCTAAGGCTTTTATTCTTCACATGTGTATTCCTTGTGACATGACCTTCCTTTAGATACCAACATTTTTTACCCTTTGTTCTTGACCTTGGAGTTTGACCTACTTTTGAAAAACTTTCAACTTGGTCATAACTTTTGAACAATTGGTGCTAGGGCTTTTATTTTTCACACGTGCATTCCTTGTGACAAGACTTTCCTTTGGATACCAACAATTTTGGCCCATTGAACTTGACCTTGGAGTCTTACCTACTTAAAAAAAATCTTTAACCTTGGCCATACATTTGAACATTTGGTTCTAGGGCTTTCATATTTTACGTACATGTGGGTGAATTAAAAAAAATGACCACCAAACTGAATTTTTTTTCAAAAAAATTCAACTACTTATAACATATTTTTCAC